CGTTTTACTGTGTCAAAATATATTTACTTTACAGGGTGATCCAGGGGTAAACGGCCAGACTGCAGGAGTGTGTTCTGTGGGTCAAAATAAGACTTTTTTGTTGTATAAAGTTTTTTTTTTCCAAAAGTGCCCCCAGCCGGAGCTACGGCCCCCCAAAATTTCGGAGAGTAAATCGTTATTCCTGAATTTTGGCAACAGTTGTTAACTAAATATCATAAATGTGCAATCCCTTGCAAGCCCTGAATTCATAAATTATCTAAAAATAATCGAAACCTCAGTTTAAAGAGGGAGTTTGGGGGTACCTATTTCGGCCTCTGTAGTCTGGCCGTTTAGCCTGCGTATAACCTCTGTATCTGGATCACCCTGTACTGAGCAATAATAACTTTCAAACTTCTTTTTGATCTTGTGCATGTCTTCTTAACTTAAAGGGAGGAGCTGCTTGAAACTTCAAGCATTCATGGAATTACGCCTATGCATTTCGAGTCTAATCGGAAACATTTGAGAGAGGCGTGTCAACATGGGAATCTAACAATTCCAACTACCTATGTTTTCATCACGGACCGTAGAATATGATTAAGATTCTAGAAATATCCGAGAGTTCGATGGCAATGTGATATGAGTGTAAGTTTTGTTTTTGTAAATCATACGAGTATCACCATTGAAGATCGATCGATCAATGTGCCCCCAGAGTGCGCTTGTCACTTAGGGGGCACCAGGAAGGACGATGTAGCGTTTCCTCCTTGCATTCGGAATCAGCTCGCCGGAAGAATTTTCAAGAGAGAATAGTGAATCTTGAATGAATTAAATGTATGAATGAAAAACACGCTCATGAGCACTCTTTATTCTAAAAGAGAAAAATGAGGAGGTGAAAAAGAAACTAAAAATAGACAGAATTTCCAAGTCCATAAATTACTCTTTTACCTGCTTATTTATTTCTTCTATTTGTGAGCCTGCTGCCTACAGACTGCCGAGCGTCATTCTTGCGGGAAAATTATGAAGATTAAAGATATCGAAATTAATACTTTTGACTTTGGCATGACATTCAAAGTTTCGGCCCTACCCGCGCCGGGCCTGCCCCTATGGGATATGAGGTAAAGTAATTTTAGCTACCCGGTTAGGGCTGGGACCTCCCGCGCAGGTCCCAGCCCTAAAGTCGTTTTTTCCACGAACAACAACTAACGAGAGGAACGTGCATATTTTTAAATCGTCCCGTCTTTAAAATAAGTTCTGGTAGAATTCTCACGCTATATGAAGAAACAAAAAAAAAAAAGAAAAAAGATAATTATTTCATGTAAGAGATTAACTATAGAGTATACCTTAACTGGAATAAATCGACGATCGCTTAAACTCCTGGGTGTATGTAATTATTCATACTCAGCGGGTGTCCGCGTTACATATATTCAGAAATGAAGGCGTTTTGCCCTTCCGTACGTCGATAGTGTCCGTTTTGTTACGGCACCATCTGCAACCGTGCGGTCAACTCATAACTCTAGTCGTCGTATCAAAAATATATTTTATTTTGAGAAACGGGCAAACAAACAGACGGCAAAGATTCATGGGAAAATGGTAATAGTAGGAGACAAATAAGAGAGATGAATGGTGGCGAATATTCAGGCAATAAATCGGCATTTATATTGCGCGGATCAATCATGTTAGTGCGCAGGTGTAAATATTCTATTCGCGTATTTTTAAAGTAAACAAGTTATGAATCGAATGTGCGGTTGCAAAAGTGCACTTGTGCAAGTGACGTAAAGCGGTAAAGCATTGTAGGGAGGAGTTATTTTATTGTTTTCTTACTTGTTTTTCTGCATGCATATACATTATTAAGCCTAAGCTTAAGAGGTATGAATGTAATTTTCTAGGAGGAGAAACAATTTAGAACCCGGAAAACGATGTTTTCTGAGGAACTATTTTTGACAGGTTGAGTCGGAAAATTGTAATACCTATGTATTTTTCGGCTGGAAAGCAGAAGTAAATATCATAAGGAATAAGTTACGAGTCACGTGTGTACAGTCTGTTTACAAGTAGGTATACAAAGATAACATCTCACGTACAGATGTTCTCCGAGTTTTTTTTTATCAATTCAAATTAAAACTTTCAAGAATTGTAGGTGAAAACCAGAGGGACATTGGGACTTGTAACGTTGAGAAGTCTCACTTGATTTATCTATTAAAAAAAGACGCATTTTTATTTTTAAAAAAATCGTGAATTCTTTGATTAAATTGACAGTAAATTTCCCGACATTTGCAACATGAGCCTGGCGAATGAATGAGAATAACTATTTTTTTTTCAGGTCCAGGTCCTGGGTCCTTGCCCAGATACTTTGCTCTGATTCTTGACAGAGCTACGCTGCAACACAGTTGATTGAGTTTTTAAATGATGCAACTATTCGACCTCTGAGGCCACGCTAGGAAGTATCATTTCTCAGTGAAGGCGTTTCTTATGCGCCGTAACTCTTGATTAAAGATTCGTCAGAAGCACTCGCGCTTACTTACTAATCCACGCTGCGACACAAGTGATCGAGTTTTTAAATGACGCAATTATTCGACTTCTGAGGCCATGCTAGGAAGTATCATTCCTCAGTGAAGGCGTTTTTTATGAGTCGTTACTCTTCATGAAAGAATTATCTGAAGCAATCGCATTTTCTCACTAATAATAATCTACGCGTGGCCGTGCTGAGAAGAAGTTCAAGAACATGCTTTTTCTCTCATCAGCGTACGCCTCCCCTTCCTGCGGATAAATTGTAGGGGCGCATACCCCTTAGGGCTGAAGGGGGTTTTGGGGGGCATCCCTCAGAAGATTTTTAAAAAAGAACTTTTTAACCGTCCGTTTTCGTAATTTTTGAGTGTGTAAAATACCTTTTCTGGGTTAGCGGAGGAATAAAGCATACCCCAATGTTCAGTCGCAAAAAAGTTCTCTGAATGAATAAAATGAAGAGTAGCAACATAAAAATAAGTTTTATTCCATAGTACACAGGAAAAAATACATCGTAAGATCACTGGATCAGTGGCGAGGTGTAAATGATCGATGATCGATTTTCCCCCATTTGAAGCTATGGTAAGGAATCGATTATTAGGGTGTTCGTCAAGAACATCTCTTTTAGCGATTATTTTCCATAAGTTTAGATGACAGAACAATCGATACATTGCAAAGCACGCCACGCCACTGCGGAGGATTCACGCGAGGAATCAGGAACGCGCGCCGTTGATTCACGCTCCCGTAGCATAAACCTCAACGGTGAAGGGGTTGAGGCACAGTACAAAATTTCATTCAAAAAGGCGGAGAAACACTTTATAAAAAAGTCATACATAACGAATGCAGGATCAGCGGCAGACCGTCGTTTCTTTTTAATACGCCTGTATTTCATGAAGATGCAACAAGTCCTAACGTTATGTCAGCTATCAACTACCCGGCGTTTTCTTCGGGTTATCAGTATGATTATGATTCATGATTCGCGCTTGCACTAGTAACACTTCTATCATAAAATTATGAATTTATAAAATTCCAATCAAAATGGGACGATGCTGCTTCATGCACCTTCATTCGACCTTAAAATATGTTTTCTCTCGAAAATTCCATTTTGGTAACTCAAAATGTTTACCAAAAAAAATATGATAACTTTAACTGCAGTCCAGGCTGATTCGGCGTCGACCAGAGGTGTGATGCACGTGCTGAAAGTAGGGTTGAGTCAACCAGAAATGTGGTTAAAAAAATTTCAGCTGACTTTACCATACCTTTGATTGGCGCCAGTATGAGGCAGGAGTATTGTTGATCCAATCATTCTGTTTTCCATGTACTCTGCAGAGTACATGGGTGGTTTTAGAAGAGCTCGTAGAGCCAGTCGCGCGCTCCCCCCCCCCCCCCCCCCNTAGATAACCTTAATCCGATCAATGGGGAGTCATTGTCAAGGTATCGTGTGGCCATTATGCAATATTATTTTATAAGTTTTATAAAACTTTTTGAACTGAATTAACAGTGCCTTCCCTGGCTAGATTGATGGCGCTTTAACTGTCTGTCCTCAGAAGCTTTGGAATGTAAAGTAAGCAGCTGGAAATAGATTGCATTTCCGAAGAAAGGTCAAGTACTTACTCAGTGTGAGTCTCTGGTGTTGATGATAGACACCACATGATAGACTATTTAGCTAAATGGCATCAAACCGCGGACACGCGAAACCTAGTTTCATAGATTTTCACCTTCAATTTATGTTTTGGAATTGAAAATTATTTTCGCATTACCACCGTATGACACGAAATCCGATAATCTTTAACTCAAATTAAGCTGAGATTTTTTTTTTTGACCATACCTATAAAATATACAAAAAATTGATTATCTATTCGATAAGTTTGAATGAATTTTCTGCTAAACATCGAAAACGCCGAAAGTAAAGAATTGTGTATTTTCATCACACTATTGTTTCATTTTTTAAGAAGAAGAATAACGAAAACCTCTTTGAAAATTTTTGTGAATATTTAGAAAAAGGCGAGGTAAATTCCCAAAATATCCTAGGAAAAAGCTTTAATGAGCTTTCTTTGAATCAAATGAAACATGAGCGGGGATATACAATAACGCAATTATTCCTTTTATTCTTCTGCCGTGTTCGGTAGCTTATAGCTGAATCGTGGATTTGTAAAAAACCGATTTAAAATTCCCTCGATTTTGTACCCTTTTAAGGGAAAGCGAATCAAACTATATTGAGGCGTAACTAGTAATTTTCATTATCATTCATAAGAGCAAAAGGTGAGTGTATTGCAAGTATTTTGAGTCCGCAATCCATATACATACTCTTGTCAGTTGGATAAGATAAAAATGAAGTAGCATCTCTTGCAAGTTAAATAGTCTGACGAGTTTCCTCACTTCTAAACGGCCTCTTTTTTTACGTAGCTGCATCTAGTGAAACTCTAAACCGCAATTTAGTATGGCAGATTGGTGAATAGATAAGGCACATGAAATGACTGATTCCTTCAGTACGTCATATCATTACATTCCAATAATATACAAAATTGAAATTTCACAAAAAAAACTTTAATTAGACTTTTCAAAAAGTTCATGGTCAATGAGTTCACAGAAGTTTTTTCCAATTTATTATTAATGTAACAAAGGGAGCAGACAATCATTTGAAAGTAAGATACCTAACATAATGTAAGGTTTGTGTGTACTGGTCCCCATTCAAAACCTGGCATTTCAGCAGAATCGAGCATTGGCTTGAAATTTCCGCAGTATCAGTCTAATTTCAGAAATTGAGAATATCTCAAATCTCTAATGTTCAATTAAGCTAATGAAGGCAATGCACGACTAAATTTTGTCAACTCTCGAAATTTAGAATTTATCATTTCAAGTCATTCAAACTAATTAATCGTGCTAGGATAATTCAGACGCAGTAAGTCTCCTTCTTGGGTTCTTTTTTTAAAAAAATAACGAGAAACAGATCAATTTTATGACAACACTTGATAGATTTTCCCTAGTTGTGATTTATATTCAATCGTTACCTATGTTCTGTAATCTGTTCTATTCAGTTATCCGTGTTGCGATCATATTTGGCAGTAACGAGAAAAACTTGTCTCTGGTGGTCATTAAAGCCTTTTCCCCAATTTTATAAACCCTACGTAATTGCTTACGTCAACATTTTCAATTTGATCCTCGTAAAAAGTTGCTTCTAACCTACTCTATCGCGCGTATTCTCCGAGCACTTTAGGGATATATACTGCAAAAAATTTTGTAATTAATTTTCACACTGATTTCCGAAAACAGCGCCATACTACTAAAGTGTCGCGGAGATTTCACCCCTTTATAAGCTCAGTTCACAGATTTTCAATAAATGCATGTATGGAGTTTCCACTTTGGAGTGAGGTTGTAACTGATCAGTGATGATTCACATTTTTCTGCAAGATGGCGACGCTAGGAGGAATCTTTTGAACACAAAATTTTGATTTTTTATAATCTCCGCATACGAGGCCCCTATTTTAGGCAAATAAGATGGGAATACTAAGTAATTGTATTCAAACCTCCATTCAATATGGAGGTCAAAAAAATCAAGTGACGCTCTCTTCTGATTTGCTAAATCTTTTCCTGAATCGAACCATGATCTCCTTCTTCGATCGGAGTATTGCAGGGCTAAAGGGATGAAGAGCTAGAATGTTTTGTTTTGTTGACGCCGCCTCGATGTGAAATTTTGATACCAAAGTTGCGATCGTATATTTCAGATGCGCCATCGCGAATCGGTAGCCTGTAACATATTGAGAAACCCATTACATGCAAGAAAATGGCTTACATGACGTTGAAAACTAAACCAAAAAGACGTATAGTCAGTACCGATGTACAGTTTTTGTCATATCGATGGCTGAAGTCGAAAAATGCGCACGTTCATCGCTATCTGTCATTGCAACGTTTTCTCCGCAGGGCCGGATTTAGGGGGTGGCCACATGGGCCGCGGCCCATGTCGGCAAATTTAGGGGGCGGCAAATGTTGCAATTTTTCAAATGTAGGTATAAAAAAAAAAAAAAAAAAATATTGGATTCAGAAATGAAAATTAAAAACGAGAAAAAGCGACAAAATCTCTCATTTCCTGAGAGTTAAAGGATACTAATTTCTAATTTGTTCGTCTTTCGGTGATACAAGATATAGCTCCTTTCATTAGTCTATAGTTGAGAGAGAAACCAAACACGCAAGTTGACCTGGAGCGGCGGCGCGGCGCGGCGCAAAGAGCAATAATGACGAGGACTTGAGATGAAAAGGAGAAGCCCTCTGCGTGCCGCCGGTCAGCGCATGTAAAACATATTAGCGCCTACAAGACTGCATGAATACTTCACGCATTGCGTCAAACGTACTACGGTCAGCGGCGCGCGGCGCGGCGGTTGGCGTGAAACTCATAGTGCCTACAAGACTGCATGAATACTTCACGCATTGCGTCAAACGTACTACGGTCAGCGGCGCGCGGCGCGGCGGTTGGCGTGAAAGTCATAGTGCCTACATGACTGCATGAATACTTCACGCATTGCGTCAAAAACAGTACGATTGGCGCGGTGGCGGAAATTAAAATTATTAAACCACATTCATGTTTATTCTTTCATAATATTTTCGTTCATTTCTTATAAATGAAAGGCCTTGTCCACACAGTGATAGGTTTACGGAACTTAACTTTCGCGCTAAGTTCAGTGAACTTCGGCTGGTGTTGACAAGGCTTTCACAAAAAATTTGCTTAACACGAGTAAACGCGTCTTATGCACCCCTCCCTCTCCGGAACGTTCACGAGATGGTTTGTATCGATGTTTCAAAACGAATGAGAAGGGGGCGGCAAAATACAGGCGACCCATGAGCGGCAAGTAGGTAAATCCGGCCCTGAATCTCCGATCATGCTCTTCTTTTTAAAGGGAAACGAACGAAATTATTTCCGTATGAATGTTTATGAATATATTTGAATGAGTGAAGAAAATTCACAGAAAACTTCAAGAAAAACTTTCGGTTAGTTTTCTCCTGAAAAAATAAAACATGAGCAATTGTAAACCTTAAAAAAATGTAACATGAACAAGGACTGAGAACGTTGTGATCAAAAGTATGCATTTTTCAATCTGTAAAGTCTTCAATATTCAGGTTGGTATTTTCAGAAATATTCAGGGCCGATTTTAGTGATTTTTTCGACCATCTGCAGGTAATTATCACTAGGAGAGCCTGGTATCTTTAAATTTTCAAATTCTTACTAGAGCCAGAGGCTTAGCCTGTGTTACAGCTCAAGAAAGAACCCTAGTTTCAATAATTTATGGAGCGCTGAAATAATATATTAATTCATAAAAATGACTGATCTGTTGATTAAACAGACCACTATAACCATAAAACGACATCTTAAGTACTCATCAGAGTGTGAAGGAAGGAGAAAGCTATTGAAAAGTCAAACTTTAGATACCTATACAAGAAGAAATTTTCTTACCGATACAAAATCGGGGGCCCTCGCCAAAAGGCATAAAAGTGTAGGGTGCGATTTTGGTGACGTCATGAAAACGGTCGGGTCGAAACTCGAAGGGCTCAGGGAAGTACTGTGGGTCTCGTTGGATAGAGTAAATCGGGATAATTACTTTGGTCCCTTTAGGGATCACAACGGAGGAGCCCGGTAGCAGATAATCTCTCGTGCAGACCCGTTGCAGCACGGACATTGGTGTGTACAGTCGAAGGCATTCTGCAGAGAAATTAGAAAAATCATGAAAGGACAAAAAAAATCTCTTTAAATTTTTAAAAGCAGAAAAAGCTGTTGAATAATCGAAAAAGACCGGTCAAGGACTTGTGGAGTGCCAGAGAATACGAGTATTTTGAAATTCAATGGAATCAACTTTTTTTGAATGTTCATGTCCATCTCCATAATTTTGAGTGGGTTTTGCTGTGACGTAACCGGTTATCGAATAAGTCGGGAAAAGTGAGACATCATCGCATTTCATTACAGAGATGGAATAGTTCGTGACTTAGAATATGCAGCAATTTCATCTCTAAAGAGTTAACTTTTATTCTCTCCTTAAATTGTGGGACTTGGAGGACAAAGTGCAAAAGTGCAGTTTTTGCTATTCCGAAAAATGCGCGTTGGAAGTTTTGAAATTATACGGATCTTTATGGCGGAAAGAAAGTTCAGACTGAATTTTCGATGCTTAAAAATTGGAATTTGGGAGCGAATTTTTCACAGAATTAAGACATAAAGACTAGGTGAAATCATTAAAAACTCATTTCTTGCAAAAACTGCACTTATGCGTCTTGTCCTTCGAGCTCCTTAATTCTTATTTTGGGGGGGGGGGTTGATAAATTTCACTTCAATTCAAATTTACCATTAGTTAAATTCAAAACTACCCTCAACTAATTATTTTTCCAAAATGCGATTTGGTGCGTTTCTGTTATATTCGGCTCGACTAACCTAACATTTTAAGTAAATTCTTTCAGCGAAAATCTCGCGATACAACAGTAAAAAATCCCAAAGACACACCTTTAATGACTGTATGCGTGTACTTGAGGTCTCTGACGACAGAATAGGTGACCTCTTGTTCGCCTCTCTCTTCCATCACCCGCTCTAATTCCTGCTTTATCTTCTCTTGACATTCAGGATGCAGCGAGATCAGATGGAGAACAAATGAAAGCGCCACCGTGCTTGTTCCTTGAGAATCCATCAAAAACCAAAACAAGCGGCGAGCGACTGTGATAATATCCACATCTAAGATAGAGACCAGTAAAAATCAATAATGAGACATAAATAAAATACTGCGACGTATGATTATTAAAGGCAAAATTTCGTTCTTTCATGGGCAACTTGAATCTGACATGAAATACAATTCGTTTTGAGCTTAATCTAACAGAAGTAACTTCCTGATATCTTTCTTAGAGCAAGAATTTTGGGGACTTTCGAATTTCGTTATAAATAAAATCAAGAAACATGACTAACAAAGTAGGCAATGATTTTAAGCAAAAAACAAGCAGTGAACTCCAACACAATGTGTTGATAAGGCGCGTCATTAACTCGCACATATCAACCCCTTTAGTTTTCATTTACAGAGATTTCAAAATAGGCAAACAGCATAAAAAGAGAATTCACGATCCAAGACTGCGAGGTCAAAGACGCACCTTGACGAGACCGTGTATTGTGAAAGTAGAAAGCTATTCGATCGAATTTAAGTTTTTTGATCT